GTGTTTACAGGTTACAGTTGTGTGCGTAAACTGAAGTCTTTGAAAATGTAATAAGTTATTACGAAACGCGTAAAGGCGTCAGACTGGAAATAAAAATGAATTTTGGAGAATTGATTTTTCAATTACCATCGACAGTGAAAAAAAACATAAGAAATATTGAGAAAATTCGTGTTAAAATTATTAATCTTACCTTTTAGGTCATATTAACAACACACACACACATTATATATATATAAAGATAAATACACACACACACACACACACACCCACACACACACACACACACACACACACACACACCACACACACACACAGTGCATTGAACTTTGAGTACCTGGTAGAGCTAGGAATTATCTCCCCCCAAAAAGAACTAGGAAACAAAGGCTGGCATACCGAAAGGGTAATTATGAGATGAGAAGCTTCCTAAGTGAAATACCTTGGGACACAGACCTCAGAGCTAAGTCTGTACAAGATATGATGGACTATGTCACCCAAAAGTGTCAGGAGGCAGTAAGCAGATACATCCCGGCCCAAAAGGATAAATCCGAAAAACAAAAGAAGAATCCATGGTATAATAGTGCATGTATGGAAGCAAAGGTACTGAACAAAAGGGCGTGGAGGAACTTCCGGAGTAACAGAACACCAGAAAGCAGAGAAATAACAGAGAACCAGGAATGAGTATGTCAGGGTGAGAAGAGAAGCAGAGAAAAGTTATGAAAATGATATAGCAAACAAAGCAAAGACTGAACCAAAGCTACTCCACAGTCACATCAGAAGGAAAACAACAGTGAAAGAACAGGTAGTGAAACTTAGAACAGGCGAGGACAGGTATACAGAGAATGACAGAGGTATGTGAAGAACTCAACAAGAGATTCCAGGAGGTCTTCACAACAGAACAAGGTAAGGTTACTGTGCTAGGAAAAAGGGAAGTAAACCAGGCGGCCTTGGAAGGGTTCGAAATTACGAGAGAGGAGGTCAAGAGACACCTGCTGGATCTGGATGTTAGAAAGGCTGTTGGTCCAGACGGGATCTCGCCATGGGTACTGAAAGAGTGTGCAGAGGCACTTTGCTTGCCACTTTCCATAGTGTATAGTAGGTCACTGGAGACGGAAGACCTACCAGAAATATGGAAGACGGCGAATGTGGTCCCAATATACAAAAAGGGCGACAGGCAAGAGGCACTGAACTACAGGCCAGTGTCCTTGACTTGTATACCATGCAAGGTGATGGAGAAGATCGTGAGAAAAAACCTGGTAGCACATCTGGAGAGAAGGGACTTCGTGACAAATCGGCAACATGGTTTAGGGAGGGGAAGTCTTGCCTGACTGGCTGGTGCTACATAGCCTTCCCGGCTTGGTGCCTTCTATTGATAATTACTTACTTACTTGCCTGACTGACTTAATAGAATTCTACGACCAGGTGACAAAGATTAAGCAAGAAAGAGAGGGCTGGGTGGACTGCATTTTCTTGGATTGTCGGAAAGCCTTTGACACAGTACCGCATAAGAGGCTGGTACATCACCCGTCCTCTTAAAAAGAACGTCACTTTTTGCCCGTATGCGCGAAATGGCTAAATTTTGGACGTAATTTGAAATGAAATCGACTCACAAAAGTGACGTTCTGTTCCGTTTTCTATTTGAGGTCGTCCGCCTTACGCGCAGAGGTTATAAGAGGACACTTTAAATTCACGTTTTTCATAACGTTTTGAAACTTTATAAGAATTTCCTGCCCACCTAACCTATCAGAGGACCCTTAACTTACTGTTGTTGAAAAAAGAATCCCAAATTTATTTTCATTTTTTTTTCATTTTCAAATTACGTCCAAATTCGGCCATACGGGCAAACGGCCAAAAGCGACGTTCTTTTTAAGAGGACAGGTTGGGTACATAAGCTGGAGAAACAGGCAGGTGTAGCTGGTAAGGTGCTCCAGTGGATAAGGGAGTACCTAAGCAATAGGACGCAGAGAGTTACGGTGAGGGTGAGACCTCCGATTGGCGTGAAGTCACCAGTGGAGTCCCCCAGGGCTCTGTACTCGGTCCTATCTTGTTTCTGATATATGTAAATGATCTACCGGAGGATATAGATTCATTTTTCTCAATGTTTGCGGACGATGCCAAAATTATGAGAAGGATTAAGACAGAAGAGGACTGTTTGAGGCTTCAAGAAGACCTAGACAAGCCGAAGGAATGGTTGAACAAAGTTGTTAGAGCTTAACCCAGCAAATGTAATGTAATGAAGATAGGTTAGGGAGGGCAGGAGAACCAGATACAATGTATCATCTGGGAGATGAAATACTTCAAGAGTTAGAGAGAGAGAGAGATCTGGGCGTGATATCACGCCAGACCTGTCCCTGCAGCCCATATCAAGAGGATAACATCAGCGGCATACGCCACGTTGGCTACAATAAGAACGCCTTTAGAAACTTGTGTAAGGAATCATTCAGAACTTGTATACCACCATATGTCAGACCAATCCTGGAGTATGCGGCTCCAGCATGGAGTCCATGTCTAGTCAAACATAAGACTAAACTGGAAAGGTTCAAAGGTTTTGCCACCAGACTAGTACCCGAGCTGAGGGATATAAGCCACGAGGAGAGACTACGGGAATTAAACCTCACTTCGCTGGAAGACAGAAGAGTTAGGGGGGGACATGATCACCACATTCAAGATTCTCAAGGGAATTGATAGGGTAGATAAAGACAGGCTATTTAACACAAGGGGCACACGCACTAGGGGACACAGGTGGAAACTGAGTGTCCAAAATAAGCCACAGAGATATTAGAAAGAACTTTTTTAGTGTCAGAGAGGTTGACAAATGGAATTCATTAGGAAGTGATGTGGTGGAGGCTGACTCCATACATAGTTGCAAGTGTAGATATGATAAAGGCCCATTAGGCTTAGGAACCTGTACACCTGTTGATTGACGGTTGAAAGGCGGGACCAAAGAGCCGAAGCTCAACCCCCGCAAGCACAATTAGGTGAGTACACATTAGGTGAGTACACAGATTCAAGCTAAGGAAACAAAGGTGCCGAAAACATATTAGAAAGTTTCGTTTGCAAAAAACTGCAGAGTGGTAGAGGGTTGGAACAAGCTAAGTGAGAAGGTGGTGGAGGCCAAAACCGTTAGTAGTTTCAAAGCTTTATATGACAAAGAGTGCTGGGAAGACGGAACACCACGAGCATAGCTCTCATCCTGTAACTACACTTAGGTAATTACACACACACACTCAGGTGGAAACTTAGTACCCAGATGAGCCACAGAGACATTAGAAAGAAATTTTTTCAGTGTCAGAGTAGTTTTCAAATGGAATGCATTAAGTAATGATGTGGTGGAGGCAGACTCCATACACAGTTTCAAATGTAGATTTGATTGAGCCCAGTAGGCTCAGGAATCTGTACACCAGTTGATTGACAGTTGAGAGGCGGTACCAAAGAGCCAGTGCTCACCCCCCGCAAGCACAACTAGGTGAGTACACATAGTTGAGTACACACACACTTGCCACACTCCATAG